GCGCATGTGCTCCTCTCATTCCGGTAGACGCACCGCGCCGTTGTGTTGAAAGAAAAGCTTCGCCTCTGTTTAGCCGTGCCAAGAGCAGTTTCGTTGTTTTTGCGGATTCCTTTCCAATATAGACGGCGTCTTTTCACCTTGAGAAACCAGGTGGACGGGCTATCAGCTCGGCATGATTCTTTATAAGGTTGCACCTCGTGGCTTGTCAGTTGAATTCGTTGTAAATAGATTATGGACCGGCAGACGAGCCTGGAAAATAGGATCCAGGAACCTTCTGTTGACACCACCTGCAGCAGTGATGTGTGACGGCAGCGTGACGCGGCGGCGTCACGTGCTGACGTGTCTACGGATGATGCCTGATCAGCCGCGTTCCCGCCGAGGATACTTCAGGAATGCACGCTCAGGCTCAGACGCTGAGCTTATGACACGTGGCACAACGCCAATGTTTCCAGTCCACCACCTGTTCAACCCCACATGTGATTTAATATTCAAGTGTACGTATGGGAGTGGGAAAGCGATGCGGCAGGAGCAGAAGAGCAGCAAGAGACTGGTACATTCTAAAGCGTTTCATCAGATGTCGACTGGTGACGTCACGAATTCTCTGTTCCACGTCAGCAGCAGCAGCCCTGACGTGTGGTGGTCCCTCCCTGACGGCATCTCCGAGAGACTACCCTTGCCACCCGGCCGCTGGCAAAGAATAGAGGTGCGCTGGGAGGGTTGGGAGAGGGAGGTGCGGGTGGGTGGAAAGGTGAGAGTGCATTTCGAAGAAAGAATTTTGGGAGGGTCACTAAAAGGTCGGTAGTGGGAGATAAGAGTGGTAGTTATGGCGCTTGCGTTTCGTGGAGTCAGGGGGCTCCTCACATCCTCCCTCTCCGGACCTGTTGTGTTCTCATGGTCTCCTCCCCCCCCTTTTCCCCCCTTCCCGGCCTGGCCCCTACTATGCTCACCCGGTCCCCAGTTTTTCCGTCATTTCTGCTCTTTTCCTTTTGGTGCTGTCACTTTCCTCCCGCTCTTTTGCTCTCTCTCTCCCTCTTGCTCTCTTACTCTTGATCTCGCTCCCCCTCTTGCTCTCTGAATTTCGCTCTCGCTCTCTCTTTCTCCCTCTCCCTCTCGCTGCCCGTCCCTCCCGTGCTGTCTCTCTCGGTGTTGCTGCTGTCCGTCCTGCCAGGAGCTTTCACTTCGGATGGGGGTCCACCTATCCCCAGACCTGCTGCTGCGATGCCTGGTCAGTGCTGCTGCTCCCATGCCTGGTCAGTGCTGCTGCCATGCCATCACACCCACAACGCACTTATACAACTGCCATGCATGGTCAGTGCTGTTGTCATACAACAGCGTGCTCATGCCTGGAGCATGGAGCCCAGCTCTCCTTGCGCGCTTCTCGCTCCGCTGTGCTTGTTTTGCCGCTCTATCCCGCCAGACCTAGGACATGTATATACCACTACGTGCTCATGCCTGGAATTAGGAGCTCAGGGCTGAACCGCCTCTTGCTTCATCCCGCTCGCCTCGTCCCTCTCCCCATCCCACTCGTCTCGCCCCTCTCCACATCCCACTGGTCTCCTCCCTCTACTCCATCCCGTTCTTCCCATCCCTCTTCCGATCCCGCTCGCCTCGTCCCCCTACCCATCCCGCTCGCCTCGTCCCCCTAACCATCCCTCTCGTCTCATCCCTCTCCCCATCCCGCTTGTCTAGTCCCCCTCCCCATCCACTCTTCTCCCATCCCTCTCCCCATCCCGCCAGACCCAGGACATGTACCATGCCGGGAGCATAGGAGCTCGAATCTCAGCCCCTTCCCTCAGTTTGCCATCCACTCTTCTCCCTTTCCTCAGTTCGCCATCCACTCTTCTCCCTTACCTCTCCCTTGCCTCTCCCATCCCTCTCCCTATCCCGTCAGACCCAGGACATGTACTATTACGTGCTCATGCCGGGAGCTCAGTGCACTCTGCACACCAATGATCCTCTGAATGCGCCTCTCAGTCAGCAGCCGAAGGACGGAGGGGAGGGGGGAGGCGGCAGGAGCACTCTGTCTGATCCGCCTCGCTTCGACGAGCCCATTACATACTTCACAGCTCACAGCCGGGTGAGGAGGGGCAAAGGCGGGATGAGGAGAGGGCGACGTGGGGACTGGTGGGGGAAAACATTGGTGAGGATAGGGTAGGGAGGGTTAAGGGAGGGAAAGGGGGGGTTGAGGGGAGGCCGAGGAGAGGTGCACCTCCTCCCATTGTCTCCTTTATATTATCACCCTCTCCTGTGTGCTTCCTCCCCTTCCTGCCTTCTCATGGGTGCTCATCCTCTACCGACCCCCTACCCTCACTCCCCTTCCCCTCGCCCTCCCTCCCTACCTTATCCCAAGCTTATCATAGACATTGTCTCTCCAAGACCGCCGTCTGCCAATATTTTTCGCAGGCATTGCACCCACTGTTTCCATCCTCCTCCCTCGTTTCTCTCATCGCATCTTCCACCTGGTTCTGTCTGCTACCCTCGTCTTTTCCTGTTCCCTGCCACACGTCGCCAGCTGGGATTGCACGTGAAGGAAAGGCTGTTGACCACACGCTGCTGCCACTGACAACTCTTTTCGTCTGCCACGGACAACTCTTTTCGTCTGCCACTGACAACTCTTTTCGTCTGCCACTGACAACTCTTTTCGTCTGCCACTGACAACTCTTTTCATCTGCCACTGACAACTCTTTTCGTCTGCCACTGACAACTCTTTTCGTCTGCCACTGACAACTCTTTTCGTCTGCCACTGACAACTCTTTTCGTCTGCCACTGACAACTCTTTTCGTCTGCCACTGACAACTCTTTTCGTCTGCCACTGACAACTCTTTTCGTCTGCCACTGACAACTCTTTTCATCTGCCACTGACAACTCTTTTCGTCTGCCACTGACAACTCTTTTCGTCTGCCACTGACAACTCTTTTCGTCTGCCACTGACAACTCTTTTCGTCTGCCACTGACAACTCTTTTCGTCTGCCACTGACAACTCTTTTCGTCTGCCACTAACAACTCTTTTCGTCTGTCAATAACACGATCAAAGACCGTTTGTCAGCAACTCCTCTCGTCTGCTCCCCTCTGGCTCCCTCAGCCTCATCTGTGCTGGCTGGCGCTCACACGCTCTAGGACCACTAGACGCATGCAGTTACTCTCTTCCATCCCCCCTGCCCCCCGCTTGCTCCCTCAGCTGCGCTCACACCTGGAGGCGGTGGGGAATGCAGTGCTGGCGGTGCTGACAGGGTCTGTGGCCGTCTGATGCAGCTCGTTTCATTTGCCCCTTCCCCACTCCCTCAATTCCTTCGCAGCTGCGCTCACATCTGGAGGCGGTGGGGGATGCAGTGCTGGCGCTCACGTGTGTGCTGCACCTCGTGCGCCAGCACCCGCCGCTCTCCATTGTGTGTGTTGGGGGGGGGGGGAGAGGAATGGAGGGGTGGGTGGGGGGTGGGGAAGGAAGGGTGGATTGGGGTTGGGGAAAAAGGGGGGGGGGGAAGGAGGGAGGGGGAAGGGGAGAGGGGGAGTGTGGGTGTGTGGGGTGTGGGTGTGTGTGTGTGTGTGGTGGTGGGTGGGTGGGTCTGTTTGTGTGTGTGTGTGTGTGTGCGCGCGCGCGCATGTGCGTGCGTGCGTGCATGCAAGCGTGCGTGTGTGTGCTTGGTGTGTCTACGTGGCATGGTGCGACCCATATTCGATGCACCGTGGACTGCCCTCCTGCTCCTCTCGTCTCCTCTCCTCTCCGCTCGTCTCGTCTCGTCTCGTCTCGTCTCACGCCATACTTTCATCTCCTGCGTGCTTTAAGTTTTGCTGCTTTTGGGCCTCTAACTTCTCGCCTCACTTTCATTCATCCCATCCCATCGCCTCACTCCCAAGTACTTGTTCCCATCCCACCCCCACGCCCACCCTATGCTTGCCAGGGCGATCTCACATCACGCAAAGGCAAGCTCGTAAGCCCCTCTCTTCCAATCCCTCTCTTCAAGCCCCTCTCTTCCAATCCCTCACTTCAAGCCCCTCTCTCTCTCTCCCCTCTCCTCATTCCCCTCTTGCCCCTCGCTTGGATCCCCTTTCTTGGATTTCCTCTCATCGATTCCGTTCCTTCAACCCCCTCTCTTCAATTCCCTCTCTTACAATTCCCTCTCTTCGATTCTCTCTCTTCATGTCCCCCCTCTGCTTTCATGCATGCTTTCAGATCTTCCCTCGCCCCCTTTCCTCCCTTGCTTCCTATCCTCCCTCTTCCCTTACCTCCCTCCCTCCCTCCCTCCCTCCCTCCCTCCCTCCCCCCTCCCTCCCTCCCTCCCTCCCTCCCTCCCTCCCTCCCTCCCTCCCTCCCTTCCCCTCCCCCTCCAGCCTCCACTCCCCGTCCTTGTCATGCTCACCATTCCGGCAAACCACCCTCGACATCTCCATCCCTCTCAAGCTCTCCACCCCTCTGCGCACTCCCTTAACTCAATAGGCGAGTCCCCAGAGGGCTTGTACCCCTCCCAGGAGTGACATCTGCATTCCCCCTCCATTCCTCTTTCCCCATCTTGTCCCTCTTGCCGTTCCTGTCCCACCCGCCCCCTCCCACTCTCCGTCCCCTCTCCGACCCCCTTTCTCCTCTCCGACCCCCTTTCTCCTCTCCGACCCCCTTTCTCCTCTGCGACCCCCTTTCTCCTCTCCGACCCCCTTTCTCCTCCTGTCCCGCGTCCCTTTCATTGCCCCCATCGTTTTTCCCCTCCCGTCCCCATTCCCGCTCCTGTTTCCCTTCCCCCGCCCAGACCCATTCGCATACCCCCACTAGTGTTGAGATATGCCTACTGTGTCTCACATATAGTCCTGTTCTCTTGCCCCACCCTCTCCCTCCCCCACCCCGTCCCCGTCTCCCTGCCACCCTGTTCCCCGCCATCCTGTCCTCCTACCCCCTTGTCCCTCTCCCCCGCCCTGTCCGTCTTCTCCCCTCCCCCCTCCCCCCACTGCACCAGGTGAGCAACAGGAGTCTAGCGGGCATAGGAGGCGGGGTGCTGGGGCTGCGGGGCGCCATGCTGAGCTTCTCAGACGCGCTGCTCATGCAGGGCAAGCGGGTCGTGCCCAAGGGGGCGGATCAAGTGGAGGTACGTGGGTGTGGGTGGGGGTGTGGGTGTGGGTGGGGGTGTGGGTGTGGGTGTGGGTGTGGGTGTGGGTGTGGGTGTGGGTGTGGGTGTGGGTGTGGGTGTGGGTGGGGTGTGTGTAGGGCTGGGGATGGGGGTGCGGGTGGGGGTGGGGGTGGGGGTGGGGGTGTGGATGTTGTGGATATGGTTGGGGGTGGGGATGGGGGTGGGGGCAGGGGTGTGGGTGTGAGTGTGGGTGTGGGCATGTGACGGTTGCATCTGAAGTTACCAGATCTTGTTACCACACGATGTTACCCTGACATGGTGATGATGTGATTTTACCAGGAGAAGGTGCTGACTGGTGGCGTATTGAAATCACTTTTGAGAGTTTTCAAAATGACATGGTGACCATGTGATTTTACCAGGAGAAGGTGCTGACTGGTGTCGTATGGTGTTACTCTGTGCTGGTGGAGTGGTGGTTGCGTGCGATGAAGAAGCAGAGGCGTGCAGAGAAGAAGAGCACATCCAGGTGACTTTTGAGTCGACTCAAAAGTCGCATGTGATGAAGAAGCAGAGGCGTGCAGAGAAGAGCACATCTGCTTTTTCACACATTGGTCTGTCTTTCTGCTTTGTGTTTATACATGACCCCTTATTGTACCCTTTACTGCAGTCTTCGTTAGTTGCCTGTACAATGGAGGCACTTGTTGGCGCAGTATATGCAGAAAAGGTTAGTGTACCCTCGCACTGCCCTCACACTACCCTCACACTACCCTCGCACTACCCTCACGTCACCCTCACGTCACCCTCACGTCACTCTCACGTCACCTTCACGTCACCCTCACGTCACCCTCACGTCACCCTCACGTCACCCTCACGTCACCCTCACGTCACCCTCACACCACCCTCACACCACCCTCACAGCAAGAAATCTCTTAAGTTGGCAGCACTGCTTGCTCGTCACCGCTGCTGATAGGTCGTGAGGATATCGGTTTGTTTTATTTGCCATCATTATAGTCCCTTCCACACCATCCAGAACCCCCATTCGTTCAACCTATTGCATTCGTGCCCGTCACTCCGGCACTTATTGGCCCACACAGAGCACACCCCTTCCCCTTCCCCTTCCCCTTCCCCTCCCCTTCCCCTTCCCCCTCCCTGTTTTCTTCTTCCCCTCCCATTCCCTTTTCCCCCCATTCTCCTCCCACTCCCCATTCCCTTCCTCCTCCCAATTCTCTTACCCATCCCTTTCCCCGTCAACCTCCCCTTCCCCTTCCCCCTCACCTTCCCCTTCCCCCTCACCTTCCCCTTCCCCCTCACCTTCCCCTTCCCCCTCACCTTCCCCTTCCCCCTCACCTTCCCCTTCCCCCTCACCTTCCCCTTCCCCCTCACCTTCCCCTTCCCCCTCACCTTCCCCTTCCCCCTCCCCATCCCCTTCCCCGTCCCATTCCCTTGCCTCTCCCCATCCCCTTCCCCCTCCCCATCCCCTCCCCCCTCCCCTTCCCCTTCCCCTTCCCCTCCCCTTCCCCCTCCCCTTCCCCTTCCCCCTCCCCTTTCCCTCCCTTCCCCTTCCCCTTCCCCCTCCCATCCCCTTCCCCGTCCCCATTCCCTTGCCTCTCCCCATCCCCTTCCCCTCCCCATCCCCTTCCCCCCCCCCTTCCCCTTCCCCTTCCCCTTCCCCCTCCCCTTCCCCCTCCCTTCCCCTTCCCCTCCCCTTTCCCCTCCCCTTCCCCTTCCCCTTCCCCCTCCCCATCCCCTTCCCCGTCCCCATTCCCCTTGCCCCCCCATCCCCTCCCCCTCCCCATCCCCTTCTCCCCTCCCTTCCCTTCCCCTTCCCCATTCCCCTTCCCCTTCCCCTTCCCTTCCCCTCCCCTCCCCTTCCCCTTCCCCTCCCCTTCCCCCCCTTCCCCTTCCCCCTCTCTCCCCCTCCCCTTCCCCCTTCCCCTTCCCCTTCCCCTCCCCATTCCCTTCCCCTTCTCCCCTCCCCTCCCCCTCCCCATCCTCCCCTTCCCCTTCCCCCTTCCCCCCTCCCCTCCCCCCCTTCCCCCTTCCCCTTCCCCTCCCCTTCCCCCTCCCCTTCCCCTTCCCCCTCCCCCTTCCCCTCCCCTTCCCCTTCCCCTTCCCTTCCCCTCCCCATCCCCTTCCCCGTCCCCATTCCCTTGCCTCTCCCCATCCCCTTCCCCCTCCCCATCCCCTTCCCCCTCCCCTTCCCCCTCCCCTTCCCCCCCTTCCCCTTTTCCCCTTCCCTTCCCCTTCCCCCCCCTTTCCCCTTCCCCCCTTCCCCCTCCCCATCCCCTTCCCCGTCCCCTTTCCCTTCTCCCCATCCCCTTCCCCCTCCCCATTTCCCCCTCCCCTTCCCCTCCCCTTCCCCTTCCCTTTCCCCTTCCCCCTTCCCCTTCCCTTCCCTTCCCCTTCCCCCTTCCCCCTCCCCTTCCCCCTCCCCTTCCCCTTCCCCTTCCCCCTCCCCATCCCCTTTCCCCCTCCTGTCCCCCTCCCCTTCCCCTTCCCCTTCCCCTTCCCCCTCCCCTCCCCTCCCCCTCCCCATCCCCTCCCCATCCCCTTCCCCCTCCCCGTCCCCTGCCCCTGCTCAGGGCCTAGAAGCAGCGTCAGCTTTTGTGACCCGCCTGCTGCCCTCGCTAGTGGACTCCCGCACCACAACTCCCCACACACAGAAGCTGGAGTTTGGCCATCAGAATGAGCAACAACTCGGGCACGAACATGAGCCTGGGCGTCAGCACCAGCAGCATATTCAGCCGGACGGGAAGGGCAGTGTGACGGTGGGCGATGCGGCAGAGGTGGGGGGAATGGAGTCTCATTCTCAGTCTCATTCTCAGTCTCCTTCTCCAGAGCAGAGTGACCCGGTGGCTCGTCTGCACGACATGTCCCTGCGGCACCTGGGCTTCGTCCCTCAATACAGGTACGTGTGATTGAATGCACCGTTGCATGTGCACATGACGTGAGGAGGCCGTTTTCCGTCGTCATGGCTCGTCTGTACGACATGTCACTTCGGCACCTGGGATTCGTCCCGCAATACCGGTACGTTGAGTGGGCTTGTTTATGTTACTTTTGAGAATTCTCAAAAGTAACATCAACATAGCCGGCACCTGGGGTTTGTCCCGCAGTATCGGTACGTTTGAGTGGGCTTTTTTTCAGTCCACTTAAAAGTCACTCTGCAAGACAGGTGCGTGTGAGTGGAAACATCACCAAGGAGTTATAGGCCCCACCCACCGGGTCACAGGACCCACCGCGTAACGGGCACTGGTGTCTAAGCCAACTAACCATACATTTGCCTCCTAAGCCTCTTTTCCTCTCGCCCCTTCGCCCCCTCACCCCATTTTTCCGCTCGCCCCTTTGCCCCCTCACCCCCTTCTCCCCTCACCCTGTTGCTCCCTCGCCACCCTTCCCCCTCGCCTCCTTGTTTATGGCAAGCAGGCACACAGGGACGGACAATCCGCGCACGCCCCATGTGACAGAGCGAGTGCGGGTGTATGCGGCAGGGAGGAGGATGGGCACGGGCATGGGGCCCTCCCTGCTTGAAAACACCCATTCCTCCTCTAACAAGCCCTGCAAGCTGTCTCCCTGTCGCTTAGTCAGTGGTGCATGAGCCACCTACCCCTCCCATTCCCCCTCCCTCTCGCCCCCTCACCCCCTCCCGGGTACACCTTTTCTTGAGCAAGCAGGCACACAGGGACGGACAATCCGCGCACGCCCCACGTGACAGAGCGAGTGCGGGTGTATGCAGTGGGGAGGAGGATGGGCACGGGCATGGGGCCTTCCCTAATCAACCCATCCCTCTTCACCCCTTGTTCCCCTGAATACCCCGTTCCCTCAGCTGACTTTTGAGTCGACTCAAAAGTCCCTCAACCTGGTCACCCCCTACCGTGAAAACCTGTTCTCACGAAATCAGGCACACAGGGACTGACAATTCGGGGACAGCCCACGTGACGGAGCGAGTGCGGGTGTATGCGGCAGGGAGGAGGATGGGCACGGGCATGGGGCCCTCCCTGCTTGAAAATACCCATTCCAAGCCCTCCAAGCCATCTCCATGTCGCTCAGTCAGTGGTGTATGAGCCACCTAACTCTCCGATTCCCCCTCTCGCCCCCTCACCCCTCACATTAACACCTTGTCTCGCCCAAGCAGGCACACAGGAACGGACAATCCGCGCACGCCCCATGTGACAGAGCGAGTGCGGGTGTATGCAGCGGGGAGGAGGATGGGCACGGGCATGGGGGCAACAGTGGCGGAGGCGAAGAGAGATGGAGCAGCCAAGGCGCTGCTGGCATGGGGTAAGGTGTTTGGGAGGGAGGGGGGGAGTGAGGGAGCAGGAAGCGAGGCGAGTGAGGATGTGGAGGAAGGGATGAATTGATGGGAGAAAAAGAGGGTGTTATAGTTGTGAGATGGAGGAGGTATGTCATTAGGTGCGGTAATCGTTCTCGTGCTGTGGTGATTTTGGAATCGCATTGTGTTACTATCCCCGGTCGAGCTTGGGCCTACCTCAAGGATTGCGCAATCTATGAGCATCAAAGTGAGTTACATTCACCACTGTAAATATGTTGGCGTAGTAAACTGCGTATCCGGGCCAGGCCGGGGAGAAAATGGAGGATGCAAGATGTGTAGAGTATGGAACCATCAACATGTGAGGCTTTAGCATAAGATGTGGGCAATCCGCATTATATTCTGCACAGAATGTCGCGACTTAGCAGAACAGGCTGCTGCTATTACCATCATACGGGACTGACAAACACACATATAGCTTGCTGCCATATAGCTGATGAAGCAAAGCTGCTTCCACACAACAGCCAAACTATGACTGCCTTTCAAGCTAGAGACTAACATGGCTATGGTTCAATCCATCTAACCATGAAGCCATCCATGGACATGCTTACAATCGCAACTCAGGGTGGAACCAATGCAACAATTCAACAATGCTTGTTCATTAGTTCCGCTGTCGGTTACCCTGGCTACACTGAAACCAATGCATGGCAAAGTGATACATCCATGGAGTTCTTTCAGGCGATAGTGGGCCCCACACGACCGAACACCATATCCTCTGCAGTGACCACAGCCCTTCCTCGCACGCGGAATGATACGTGTTTCTGCTCGCGGCTCTTCTCCTGTGCCTCGGGATAGCGCCCACCAAACTGCTGCCTCATCTGCCCGCTGCTGCTGCTGCTTGTGCTGCTGCTGATGCTGCTGCTGATGTTGCTGTCACTGCTGCTGCTGCTGTTGTTACGGTACCACTGGCACTGCTGCTGCCAAGCCTCCTGGCTGGATTGATGCTGGCTGATTGCAAATCTTCAAAGGAGGCGTGGTAATTTTCCATGGCACCCAAAGCACCAGCGCTGCTGTTGTGCTTGAACCGATTCTCAGCAGCCGTGCCAGTCCAGGACTTCATGTTTGCACAGCGACTCGCTGCGCACCAGCCACGGTGCATCAGGTGAGAAGAGAAGCTCTCCTGGCTGGCAGCAGTGGTGAATGTATGGGCGGTAGGGGCGGAGGCGGCTGCAGCTTCGAGACGTTTGGCATTTTCTGGGACAGTGTTGGTGTTCTTTTGTCCTGTGCTGATGTGACCTCTGATTGGACGGCAAGGGCGGTGTGCCGAGTCAGCAGATGGGGATGGTGGGGGGAGTGGTGATGGGGATGGGGTATCCATTGCAGCAGATACGAAGGGCGGGAGGGAGTGTGCATGGTTTAGGGAGTGAGGAGAGTATGTAGCAGTAGAAGGAGTAGTAGAGTGACTGCCGTTCCCACAGCAGGGAGTGCGGTGGAGGGATGAAGAGGGGAAGGGGGACAGGAAGAGCTGCTGGTCTTGCACGCCAGATGTACCCTCTGCGAGCATTGAGAGGGAATCCGAGATTGCTGAGAGCGTTGAGAGGGAATCAGCTGAGCGTGCAGTCACTGATAGTATCTCCATCTCAACAGAGTTCCCACCGTCACCATGGCCGGAAAAGGGGGTTCCATGATCATCCGGGGCCGGGAGCGCCAGGGGCGGCTGGAGGAAGTACACGTGGCCGGGCTGTAAGACGTGCTGCGGACGCAGGAAGCCGTGCGATGACGTCAGCGACCCCACCTGGCAGCCCGGGTGATCCTGAAGCACGTCGCTCACGCGCGTCACGGTTGCCCTCCGACCCGCATCAAGATTTCGGCGGGGAATTGAATCGCCAGCAATTGAATCGTCGGGTATTGAATCATGGATGTCTGTCAAAGTCACAGCGCGAGACTGAGAAGTGTTTTGATCTCGCAGGGCGCCATTAGTGTTCTTCCCCTGACTCGGAGAAGTGAGGGTGCGAGCCTGACTCGCGCCGGCGCCGGCGGTCTGGCGGCTGCGTGCGGAAGATGGCGACTTGTCCTCCTGCGCGGGGCACATGGGGACAATTTGCACAGAGCCATCCGGAAGCAGCAGAAGCGCCGGCTCTAACTTCGAGCCGCACCGTGCGGTCCGTGACGGACCGGCGCGCTTCGAGGGCTCCCGACGCGTGCTTCGCGCGCCGCCGAGCACGTCGCGCGTCAGCCGTGACCATCCGGCGGAGAATTTTGGCGCGAAAGGCCGCGGCTCCGCGCTTGGAGCGCCAGAGGAGGAGACCACGATCCGCCGCTCCCCGTCGGAAGCTGTCGCGAAGGTGGATTTGTCGAAAATTGGCGATCTAGTGTCGTCGCGTGCGCACATGGCGGCCACTTCGATGCAACAGGGCTGTTTAGACACTCCGAATTTTCCGAATCGTAATCGACTCGATTCGGAATCTTTCGGAAGGATGGTAAGGGAAGAAGCGGGCTGACAAACGCTCGGAGCTCGGAGCTTTATAACGCCGCGCAGGCGTTACAAGCTTTGACTCAAGCTTCCTCGAAGGAAGCACAGGAGGGTGGAGTACATAGAAAACCTTTCGCCTTTGCGTAGGCCGTCTCCCGTGCAGGTCGGAGGATGGTCCTCCGAGGTGTGTTCCATTCCTAGTACTGACAGACGGCTGTCAGAGTGAATGATGATGCTACAACGGCCAGTATTAACGGCTCGGTTTGGACTCCGAGGCATGGTAATGGTGGTTTGGAGCCGTGGCTTTTGGGACAGGAGGTTAGGTTACGTACTGCAAGCAGGTTTGGCGTGCCGATTCGTGCGCGAGCCCAGACTACAGCCGGCAGGGGAGCAAAGATACGCACTCCAGCAGAGTGAGTACATTACGTTACGTTTTGCGGGTGTTGCGCATTAGCGTGGGGTATAAAGAAAATATTAGCGTGAGGACGCGTCTCCTCCCTCGATCGACCCTGCGCAGGTTCGATTTTGGCGGGATTAGAGAAGGTTTTGCCAGTTGTGAAATGCATAAAACGGGGTTTCAGTGCGGTAAAGATTCGTTTTCCACGATGGATCGTGTGGAGGGGACATCTACCAAACCAAGCAATTACATCCACGCTATTGCACCCCCTGTACTCCACACTGCACCATCACATTCCCAACCATTCCACCCAACCTCCTCCAAGGGGTTTTGCTGCCCCCCCCCATCAGTCCGCCATTTTTGGTAGATTTCGCAGCTGGTGCTGTGGGGAACAGAAATCGTCAGGGGAAACTGTCACTGTACACACAACAAAGCAGACCGTTCGAATCGAGTCTGGCCAAAGTGCGTTGGAAAGCACGATACAGTAGAACTGAACTTGCTTTGCTGGAACTTCCACGTTATTCTATTTGTCAACTTAAATCCAATGACCTCATCCGTCCGTGTGAAATAACTAGTCCTTGTCGGCCACGTGCGCTCCAACCAGTTTCCAATCATTCTGCCTCGCGGTCACTACGCGCCACCGTAATTTCCAGGATAGAGTCTCTCACAGTGTGCGGAACGCTAAAACACGTTTCAGTCCATTGCCGCCCGGCCACCTGGTGTTTTATTAATGAAAATCGACTGTACTTTCTTGTATGATAGTGGCAGTTCGTTTGCGTGTTAGTTTCTTTTCTTATTTCAAGGAAATCCTTAGGGTGGGTCCTACCGTTTATTCGCATGATCGTCTGCATAAAACTGTGGAACTTGCTAATGTCATCATCCCCGACTTACAAGAGAACATATACCGTAGCTGAGGAGCAAAACTGCTTTCACAAAAACAGGCTAACTACAACTGCGATTCAGACTAAAACAAAACATGGCTATGGTTTAAAGCATCAAACCATCAAATCATGAAGATATTCTTAGACATGCTTCAATCACAGCTCAGGCTGGAACCAAAGCCCTCTCGCATCATCAATCCAGGATCGCTTGTTCATGAATCCGTTGACTGGCACACCCTGGTGAAAATCATTGCAATGCGAAGTGATAACCCATCTCATGAGTATGTTCACGCCACAGTGGGCCCGACACGGCCGAACACCATGTCCTCTGCAGTGACCACCGCCCTCCCTCGCACACGGAATGGTACGTGTCTCGTCTGCTGGCTGCTGCTGCTGCTGTTGTTACTGCTGCTGCTGCTGCTGCTGCTGCTGTTACCGCTGCCGTCGCAGTTGCTGAACCTCCTGGCCGGAGTGCTGCTCGCTGATTTCAGAGCCTCAAAATTGGCCTCGTGATTATCCATAGCTTCTGCCGCTTCTGCACCTGTGCTGCTGTTGCAGTTGAACCAGCTCTTGCCAGTCGTGCCAGACTTGACAGTCCAAGGTTCCAGGCTTGCACCGCGACTCGCTGCACACCAGCCGCGATGCATCAGGTGAGAAGAGCAGCTCTCCTGATCAGCAGAAACCGTGAATGTGCGAGCGGCAGCGGCGGTGGCAGCGATGAGATGACTGGGATTTTCTGGGACAGTGGGGGTTTCCAATTGTCCTAGGCGGCTGTGGCATCTGGTTGAGCGGGAAGGGCGGCGTGGTGAGTCCGCAAATGGGGAGGTTGGGTTCACGGGAGAAAGTGGGGATGGGTATGGGGATGGGGATGGGGATGGGGATGGGGATGGGGATGGGGATGGGGATGGGGATGGGTATGGGTATGGGTATGGGGATGGGGATGGGACATACATGGCAGCAGATACAGAGGGTGGGAGTGAATGTGCGTGGTTCAGGGAGCGACTCGAGGCGGCGCGTGAAGTGGAGGCGGTACTAGGCAGACCGTCGTTGCAGCAGGCACATGGGGTGCGGTAGAGGGATGACGAGGGGAACGGGGGCAGCAACAGTGCGTCTTGCACGCCCGCTGAGATCGCTGATAGCGTTGAGAGGGATGAGAATGAATCAGCTGAGCGTGCAGACACTGAAATTGTCTCGATATCAGCAGAATTTCCCCGGCTGCTCGCCACATCGGATTCAAACCTCCGGCCGGAGCTCCCAGAAAAGCTTGCAACCACGTCCTCCAGGCAACGACGCCCGTTATCAAAATCATCCTTGTTACAAGCATCCGCGTCCTGGATAAGCAGCGCCGTAGAGCCACCGCCGTCGAAGTCCGCACCGGCATTGCCAGAAACAAGGGTTCCATGATCATCTGGGGCCGGGAGCGCCAGGGGCGGCTGGAGGAAGTACACGTGCCCGGGCTTCAACACGTGCTGCGGACGCAGGAAGCCGTGCGATGACGTCAGCGAGCCCACCTGACAGCCCGGGTGTTCCTGAAGCACGTCGCTCACGCGCGAGACCCTCCGCGCAACACTGCCGCGGGGTATTGACTCCATTGCCTTGCTGGGAGTTAAATCGCCGGGAATTGAATTGCCGTGCGTCGAAGCCGCGACGCGAAATGAGTCTCGGGCGCCATTGCCGTTCTCTGACGGAGTGAGAGTGCGCGCCTGAGTCTGGCTGCGTGCGGAAGGCTGCGAGGAGCACACGATCTGGACGGAGCCGTCAGGAAGCAGCAGAAGCGCCGGCTCAGCGTCCAGCGAAGGCTCCCGCCGCCGCGGCGATCCGGCAGTGCCGCAGGTTGACGGCGCTTCAGCGGCGCCGCCTGTACGGGAGCTGCTCGGCGCGCGGCTGGCGCTAAGCGCGTGCGTCAACCGCGACCATCCGGCGGAGGTTTTTGGTGCGAGATGGCGCGCCGGCGACTCCGCGTTCACGCACAAGGCCGCATTTGTCCGCCGTTCCGCGTCGGAAGCTGGAAAATTGGCGAAAATTGGCGAAGACTCCGGAGCCGCTCTGGTGTCGTCGCGTACGCACATGGCGGCTATCACTGGAGCAACCAGCTGTTTAAAAAACTCGGCAATTTTCACACTTTCCAAAACGATGATTGGGTTTTGCCACGGAAAAGCAGCGGCTGACAACGCAGAGTTTCGAGATTGAGGAAGCCCAGGAAGGGTAAATAGGAGACTATTGCGCCGCGAACTTCGCGGTAGAGGTCTCCCTCCCTCCGAGGTGCGTCGCTAGTCGCGGTAACGAGCCACGCCTACGAATGGCAGAACCAAGCTCTTCGTTCCTGCGAACAGGAATTACGCACAAGCGTCGGAAATATCTTTTCTGTCTGGTGTACTGTCTGGTGGTGTAGCGCAAGCACCGTTCTGTGACAGTTCGCCTGTCGGGGGAAATGATGCTAGTATCGCGGTGGTTCTGTTTTGTGGCGGCTCGTTTTAGATAGACGGCTGGTTTGACGTTGCGGTTTCTGGAACAGGAGGTTCGGTTTCGTAGCTCAAGCTTTGGGGGTACACCTGGGCTCCAATAATTTCATTCCCCCTAATTGGAAGGCCCCTGTCGTCATCTGTGGCTCCTGGTTGAGAGCGGTTCGGTCCTCCCAACAACCCTCCGATACCTTTAACCGAATAAAACCGCTTTCGCTCCGTTCAGAAGAGTCCGAAACCCCGAAATCTTTCGTGAGAGTGTTGAAATTAGAGGGAACTTTTTTGTTCCCCCCAATTTCAACCCCAGGGCAAAACGACAAGGACGCGGCTCGGTGCCCACATTCTGAAATTACCGGAGCCCAGGTGTACAAGACTGACCTTGTGGTGGAAGCTTAGACTTCTCTCAATCAGCCAAAAGGATGAATACGCACTGTACAGTGACACCATTCCTCAATTTCCGCGGCATGTTTGTGTGTTTCTGTTCTTGGACATGTTCGGGTAAATTGTATATTTGTCTGACGGGCAGAATCTCCCTAACAATCAATGGACACGTGCGTTCGCCTCACGCCTTTACCATTTTGTATCTCAATTTTCCCAACGCCGCGGACCTTCCGTCGCTCCGTCCTGCTCCTCCGCCATCCTCTCGCCTTCTTCTGCCATCTGGCTAGATTTGGCTGCAGCTGCGGAGAGGGACAGCGGGGGCATACAGCGGGGAGAGCTGTAGGTAGGATGCCCTTCTGCTGGGCTGGTGAAGCTGCCGAGGGAAGCTGCCAAGAGAAGCTGCCAGTTACGTTACGAGATGATGGTTGTGCGTCGCGACGAAGCGGATCATGTGACTCGAATCCATCTAAGGTGCGCTGGACAACACACTGCACTTGAACTTGCCTTGTTGGAAGTTCCATGTTGCTTGATAGGCTGGTTTAGATACAACTGCCTCATCAGTATTAAACAACCTTGTTGTATCTTCGGAAACAGTAGGATGCCCATTAATATATTTCACTTTCGAGAGCCGGTAGCGGTCGGTAGCGCCCGGTAGCGCTACCGACCGAGTCAGCACGCTGCCCGCGGGCAAAAAAAAAACCCATGGCTTACGGCATGCCATTCGGGAGCCTCAACCCTAAAATTTTAGGGTTGAGGCTCCCGAATGGCATGCCCCCGACTGGGGTTTATTTTTATTCTTGCCCGCGCTGACTCGATTGCACTGCCTGCTGACGCAGGCAGTGCAATATATATTCCAAAAAGTGCTGTTGGACACGTCTGCTCCAATCAATGTCCACATCATGCTGTCGTGGATGAAATCACGACCGCCGCAACATGGAACAGTGTGCCCTTCTTTTCTCCAGAGATCAAGGTCTGTCCAACACACAACACAGCTGAACCCTTTTTTAGTTTTTGTAAGCACAATTAGTACACACACACACACACACTAGAAGCTATCACTCTAATGCCATGTTGAACTCTGGTGAGGTCTCAGCAGCCAGTGCCAAGGTACGCAAGCTTGGGAAATGGGCATTTAAGATGTGATAGATCCTAAGAATGAGGTCTTTCAGCGGTGTAGCCATATTCGTTCTGTCGTAGGTTTACCAAGATGAGAAAGAATGTGAATTAGGCGATGCGACGTATAAAGCTAGCTCATAGTTTTTCCTGATCTATAGGTTAATGAAAATTGTGTAGGGGTAAACGGCTGGGCAAGTACGGGCGCACAGCAACGAATAATGGGCAAAGAATGTTTGAGGTAAGGCTGAAGCAAAGTAAAGCATAATTATTTTTTTTATCTCCTTACTCACTACACTAGATGCGTGTAGCTATCCAATTTGTGAAAACCAATCTTTCCCAAACCAATCCACCCTCGATCTTGTCGGATCGCCTTGATCCAGTCAATGAATGGCGGGTGTATTCAGAATCCCAAGGTTATGCTGTCACGCTCCACCCCGAATTGAAGCTATCATTGTCCGCAGCGGCATAAATCGCTTCATTAGCTCAATAGATCCGTCGTTACCTGTTCTGTCCAGTCGTCGTGCCGTCCGTAATTAACCTTCCTAACCGTAGAGAAATAATTAGAAAGCGTATGTCGCACATGAGCACAACGATCTCTGCTTACAGCGGTATTAGCTCTTGACTAAGGTTCGCGATTCCACACCTCGTGGATAAGTCGAAGGTGGATGATTGTGCCAAGATGGCCGAGCCTAGAAAGGAACCGTAGATTGAGTAAAGGTTCCTTTCTTGTAGATGAGATCGTAGATCAGATCTATCTAATAATATGCAACTTTTGTAGATCGGGACCGTACATTAGTTCGGTCGGATCTATGCTATTTTGAACGAGTTGCATCGCCTTCCATGATGCTTGCTTCTCTCTTCCGCCTAACTCCCCTTCATCGTCCGGCTCACCACGACATTCGCGACCGTACGCTCATCCCTAGAAAACTGCACCCTGATCAGGAGCCTACTACGAAGCATGACGGGCTCGAGGAAGGCACGATGGCGTCTCCTTTCATCTCTTCTTGTGGATTAGGGTAAGGTGGGAGAACGGGAAAAGGGGAAGGGGAGTGGGAGTATGGGGAGGGAGAAGGGGTAAGGTTGAAGGGGAATGGGGAAGAGAGGAGTGGGCAGAGAGGAAGGGGGAAGGGGGAAGTGCGAGGGGAGGAAGGAAGGAGGGCTGAGGGGAGTGGGGGAAGTAGGAGGGCTGAGGGTAGGAAGAGGAGAATGAGATCGAATGAAGATGTGGTTTTTATCCATTCACTTATCGTTTTCACACCTTTTCCACTGCCGTCTCTCCAGTTGTTTGGACCATTTACCATTGAGGGGTGGCTCTTTCCTGCTCAGGCCGCTCACGACGAGGTAAGTTACAAGCTTATTTTACTCTACAAGTTTTGAGTAACCAAGTGGATTAGAGCACGTCCACTCTAATCATACTACTAGCAATCGACTACAACACAAACAATCCAGGTGCGAACACGCGGGGGCATGACTTAGGTTCCCCATTCAATCACGACAGACTGGAAGCCACGCGGCCAAACACCATGTCCTCTGCTGTGACCACAGGCCGTCCTCGCAACCTGAAGGGGTTGTGCTGCCGCTGCTCTTCTCCCCTTCCAAATGCGTTCTCCTCGCCCTGTAGCTCTTCGGACAATTCAAGCCCTCGGGAGTAGCTTCTCCTGTGCCTATTGCTGATAATGCCGTTGCTGGCATCTTTCTCGACTCTGCTGTTGCTGCTGCTGCCATAGACAAATCCAGTGCTGGTTGCAAGTTTAACGCCAGTGCATCTTGCACTGTAGCTCCGCGTTGTAGCACCTGCGTCGTTGTCACACTCGTTGCAGCCAATGCCGGATGAGAACTGGGGGTGGATGCTACGCCCGGCAGTGCACCAGCCACGGTGCATCAGCGGTGATGTCGAGCGTTCCTGGCCGGCAGCGGCAAAAATTTGGGCGGCAGCACTGTCCAGTTGGAAGCTGAGATCTTCAGGAACCGCGAAAAAATGGCGGGGAGGGGAGACTTTTGGACGGCTGGAACACCCAGTTGGGCAAGGAAGGGAAGGCGATGGTGATGGTGGGGAGGGTGGGCATCTGGGGGAGAGCATGGGGGATGGGAACGTGGAATTCGTGGCAGCAGAGGAGGTGGGGGAGAGGGTGAGCGAGTGGGTGAGGGCTGGAGAGAAGTGGGATGTGGGGGTGGCGGGGCATTTGGCGTTGCAGCAGGCGCAGGGGGTGCGGTAGAGGGATGGAATGGGGGAGGGGGAGAGGGTGCGCCGGTCGAGGGAGAGGAGAGGAGGCTGCAGGTTTGGTGATTCCGAGGGCACTGAGGGGGAGCAATTCACAGACGATGCTGCTGAAGATGCTGCTGTGCTCGAAGAGGAGCTCTTCCCCAATGAAGCATTTCTTCTCGTCATAGTCGCATCGCCTGCGTTGAAGGTGGTGGTGGTGATGGTGGTGCTAGTGGTGGTGGTAGGGTTGGACAGGGTCCGGGTAACCACATTGGTCTCAGAGATCTTGTACGTGTTACCAAGGATGCTCGCCATTAGTCCCTCCTCCGTTATAGTCACATCGTCCAGGGTGTGCTCTTCCGCCTCCATTTGCATCCCAACCGCGCCATGATCCGCGTTAGTAGCAAAGTCTCGTTGTAAGGTCAATGCGGCAGACGCACTCTCGTCATCTCCTGGATTCGTTCTGCTTACGTCAGCAGCTGGAAGCGCGGCTGCGGCCGTCAGAGCCTGAGGTGGCTGGAGGAAGTACACGTGTCCGGGCGTCATCACTTGCTGCGGGCGGAGAAAGCCATTGGCTGACGTCAGTGACCCCACCTGAAAGCCCGGGTGATTTTGAAGCACATCGCTGGCGCGGGTGAGTCTCCTTCTGTTGTCATTTGCGGGGGCGGCCGCGTCGCCAGCCAATTTTGGGCTACGCGACTCGGCGACAGAACCGGACGTGAAGATTTGGACGGAGCCGTCGGGAAGGAGGAGAAGCGCCGGCTCGCCTTCCGTTTCAGTCTCGGCGGCACCGCCGAGTGACGGTGGCGGACGTGAAGCTGAACGCGGCTTGGAGGCGGCGGCTGACGGCGGCGGTGCCACCTTGGACGTCCGCTCGGCTCCGACTCTGCCAACGCCGCTCCGCTTTCCGTCGCCGAGTTTCACGTCCCAATTCTTCTGCGTTGGCGTGAGCGCGCGGCCGTTGCTCAGCGCCTGAGTGAGGCGCGACCAGCCGCCCGCGGAGAACTTAGGCGGCGCGCGGGATTTCGCGGCGCCGGATGATGGGCTATCCGGCCAATGCACCGATTCCGCCGCGGCGGCGGGCTCGAGATCGTCGAAGAGCGAATTGGCGAAGAGTAGCGAATGGATAGGTAGCCCGGCGTTAGCGCCTCCGGGACACATGGCGTCGGCGATAGCGGTCGTTGGTAGTGAGGATGCGGTTCGGTGGCGGTTTTTGTTGCAGGTTTAAGACTGGATCGGGGGGTGACTTCTCCTTGCACTTCGAAATTCGAGATCTCGGCGATTACTGCGCGGCGCGTTCAACGCGAAGTAAAGCTTCAACGTCGGACACTTCGAAGATGCACGGCGGACTCCCAGCGGGAGTACTAAGGGTACCTAAACTTATTCAAATCAAGCTGCATGGCAAGAGTGTCCTTCGCGTGCTGCGCCGAAGAGTCACTCTCGAGAGGCTTGAGCGAACCAAATTTCCAATTTGTTCCTGCTTTGCTATGCTGTACTCGAGGGTCTCATATTATTTGACCCAGGACGAACAATGAAGCTGAGATGGATGAGGTAAGGGACAGGTAAGGGAATACACTACATTCTCGGAAGATTCTAAAACGTTCAAATGTTAGTTACTGATAATGCTTCCATGAATTTCCGCATGATAATTGACGGGTTACCAATATAATTGTTTTTTTAGGAACCTTTGTGGTGAAATAGCCCAACGACACACTGGTTTTCTGTGGCACAATATTGATTTGAACATTTTTTACACGCTAAACCACGACTTTGGTTTGTTGTAGGCGCGGGTGTAGGCGGTCAAGAACGCTATGGTGTGGTTCTGGTGTCTAGCGATTCGAAGGTGGAGGGCAACATCACAACAAGCCGCAATGGCGGCTCGGTTGACCAGGGCTATTCCGATTAGCCTGGTTTGGAAGGGAAGCGAAGTGATCAGGCACATTATGATCTGGACTACAGATACAGTTTTCCGAGTCACCTGATTTCCGCACTAACCTCGAATTTAACGTGGTGACACAAAATTACAAACGCAAACTAGTGCGTATGGATGCTAACCATTGTTGTGACGTTTAGCGCAGTCAAGGCTGCCCTGAATTGCTAGTGTGGTGTAGGATACTGCTGGGTTCTGACTTTCAGGTGTTTATGGATGGTTGTTCCATGGCTGTTCTCTAGTTCGAAGATTCCAGGTTCGGAGTGCACCATTCGCACAACTAGCAACTCTACAAACCTGGCAGCCTAACGCCAACGCTTCGTTACACTGTGACCCACGTGCTCAAGCACAAAATGTTGCTTTGTCTTCGCTGCATTTACGAAACCCCGCCCAGGAACTGCGTCCTCCCCTCCCTCACTCGCTAGCGTCCTCACCTCAACCCCCCTTCCTTCCCCTCTTTTCCTCTTTCCTTCCCCAGCATCTTTTCGCGTTTGGTCGGGATTGTGGTGATTGGGCAAGACGAGCCGTCGAACGCACGCCACGCCACCTGAAGGGGTATCCCACCCCAGAAAGGCACCAGTGTCTTTAGTTTACCCTGAGTTCAGTGTGCGCTAAGCGCGGCAGTTTTCTGTTCCGTTCCACAGCGATCTCATCACGCAAAGCAAATAGCCCAACAACTTTGTACGTCTGAACGCTGCCCCGGAGGAGTAACCTTGATATTACTCATATCAGGTCATGAAATTAAAAAACTGTACAAGGGGGCTGGTGGTGGCAGAAAGGGGAGCGCGGAGAGGTTTTGAATCATGCAAGAGCTGGATTGGTTTGGATGCGACAGCGGAGGGCCACGCTTTCTGGACGAACAGCCACGAGCACAGACCACAACTCTTTCCTCGCTTCAGCGGCAAGCTGGCATGTGCAAAACTTGCCTTGCTGGATTTGAGAAGCAAGCTCGATTGGCCAAATAAACTTTTGGAGGGCAACGAGATGTTGCCGCAAGCACATGTGGACGAGAAGACCACACCAACTTTCCGGCCTTCATACGAAGTTTCGTACGTACAAAAGTTTGTGGGAGGCACAAGGTGACCATTCCAGGTCAGCAAAGCGTGCGGAGAATTCTTGGCGCACGCTTTTCCACGAGATTCGACAGGCTCGCATCGCACACATTTACGGTGGAGGAATCACCCTGTTATTTGGCGAATATCACAATTTCTATCGGAATCTCCCAACTAGCCCTAGCTCAATGTCTCTGAGTTTTGCGAAAGTAGCATCCATTTCAACACATCTTGTCTGCCTGTGCGACTCCACCGAATCCCCGCCCAGCACAACCTCGCTCAGCTAAGTGTTCTCACCATCGGGTCTCGTTCAGACTCGTTGTTGTACCACCCTTCTGTGACCTGTGGGACAAGTGTCCCCCACTCACTTGCTCTCGCCACTCAACCCCCTCCTCAAACATGGTTGTACACCGTGTTTGAGTCGGGCATTTCAGGAAGCTCATTTATGAACGAACCGCCACCGTTGATTCCTAAATCCTGTGGTTTCAGACGGGGCAGATCTGCCAAGTTGACTGACTTGCAGAAGCCTCCCAGCCCAGGACATATCCTCGATATATCTATCCACTCTGAGGACATCCCAATAGTAGCACATTTTCTCGTTTATTTTTCTCAGGACATGGGAAGTCCTGAAGTTTTGCATGTTGGTTCCAGAATCAATACCTACTCAAGCCTCAGCTGAAAGTTGAGTGACTGAACCTCCGTATGCATGTAACAGACACAATCAATCATTGGTGTGACCACTATTATCATACCACAGTTATCCACCACACTGTTTTAGCCTTTCGGAATGGTTTACTAAGGTACATTGTTTTTAGCCTTGAGACATGTGGTTCGCTCATGGAGGTACCTTTTTCAAGGCTGAACAACACAGCAGGGTCAGATCGAATCATATGCTTCCGGATGGCACATTCAAAGTGACGCATGAAAATTGCTGAGATATGCACCCTGAAGTTTTGGGAAGAAGTGCCTAAGTGTTAGAAATTGTATTTCTTTATATAACTGCATATTAGTATAGCTAGTGTAGTATGTATTCTCTTGTTGGTGGTATACCCCTCCTGACCACCTTCCCTAACCCTATATCATGTATCTCTCTCACTAGTCCAACCCCTTCCTTTGGCCAAACTTCTTTCCATCCAAACCCTAAGTTCCTAGCTCTCTAAGTTCCTAGTCCTTATCTTCTTAACATGGTACAGAGCAGGTTCTTTCCCGGAACCTTCCTTTTTTTTTTTTAGAATTATGGGCCCGCCCGTACAACAGCGCGAAATGCGCTATTTTTTCTCGTCGCGCCCGTTGCGCCCGTCGCCCGTCACGCGTCGCTGCCTTGCCCGTCACGCCCGTCGCTGCGTTGCCCGTCGTGCCCGTCGCTGCCCCGATTCCCGTCCCCCGCGGCCCCCCGTTTCGACGCCCCGCGGCCCCCCGTTCCGTCGCCAGCGCCTGCGCCAGCCCGGACCGCAGGCGCCGCCGCCAGCGTGGCCCGTCAGCGCGGACGCCACGACCGCGGCCAGCCGCCACCGCCAGCGCCAGCAGCAGCTACCGCCAGCGCCAGCAGCAGCCAGCCGCCCCACCGCGGCCAGCCGCCCGCGCCAGCGCCAGCAGCAGCTACCGCCAGCGCCAGCCGCCCGCGCCAGCGCCAGCAGCAGCTACCGCCAGCGCCAGCAGCAGCTACCGCCAGCGCCAACAGCAGCTACCGCCAGCGCCAGCAGCAGCTACCGCCAGCGCCAGCAGCAGCTACCGCCGCCCTGCCCCCTCCCGCCCGCCCTCCCTTCCACTGCTTCCGTCGTGGGGGGGGGGGAGGAGGGGGAGATGTGGGGGTGGCGGGTGTGAGGTTGTGAGGAGCCAGCACCTCCCTCCCTTCCCTCTTCCTCTCTCCCTGCAGCACTTGTTGCTGTAGGGGGGGGGGGGGGGAGAGAGGGTAAGGGGGGATGAGAGAGGTTAAGGGGGGATGAGAGAGGTTAAAAGGGGGGAAGAATGAGAGAGAGAGAGAGAAAGGGTGTCTTCTTTCCTGTTTTTTACTTTCGTAATGTTTTCTCGTGGTTCGTTCTTTTCTCAGTCGTTTCTGGGCGTGGTCACCCAGAGTCGCGCACACCGGGCATCCACTGCGGGGGTTAAACCGCAGGCGGGCATTCCATCGTGTGTTGTATCGGTGGGCCCAGCTGCGGCACGGTGACGACTGCACTTAGGGTAGAGCGCCTCTCATTGGCTATGCTTGTATGCAGTTAAGGGGGGATGTTAGAAATTGTATTTCTTTATATAACTGCATATTAGTATAGCTAGTGTAGTATGTATTGTTGGAAACAATAAGACCTAAGCGCTTCAGTCGTGTCGAAAACACCGCATCAGAAGCGAGGCAAACTACACCGAAGCACCCGCAAGTCAACCCTCGGGGGTTGAAGAGGTTGCTAGAGGTTACGCGAAGGTCAAAGGTCGCTGACCTTTGACCCGACAAGTACAGCGCGACAGTTAAGGACATACAACTGACTCGTTACAGAGCAGTTGCCCGAGTCGTACTGTATCGAACCGCAACAGCAACAGTAAAAGTAGTTATAACCGTATCCTTTGATATTCCTTACACCACTATATATTCTTGTACTTTCCTGTTATAATTAATCTACTTTGCCCTCACATACTAGCGCAAGGTGGTTCACAATTACTGCACTAAAAGCTTCCGCTATTACAATTGTCCTACCCAGAGTTCTCCCCTGAAAAGATCCTAAGGGGCTATCTCAGCCCAACATGGTATCAGAGCGGTCAGGGGAAATTCTACCTCTTCAATTCAAAGACATTACAAGACATGGCAACAAACAAGGAGAGGAGCTCTTCTAATGGCTCCCTGGGGACTACTCCTACACCACCTCCTGCCTCTGGCCTGCAGACAGAGGAAGGCACAGCAACAAGACCTAGGGGAACGTCCACCGAGACTCTCACAAATCGCCCCACGGGCTTTGACCAGAGCATGATGGAGAAGTTTTTCTCCTTCATGTCCTTCTACGAGCAGCACCAGCAGTCGGGACCTGCACAGACACACAACAGCAACAACGGAGTGACACCCATGAGCCTTGATGGGTCGTCATACGCGCGCGGAAATCAACAGCAGCAACCTACCTTCGCCCCGTACGAACGCGGGTCAATCAGCTTCATGCCGCAGTCTTCGCCTGCACAAGACAAATCACTGGACGCGT